GGGGGGGGGGGGGGGGGGGGGACGGTTTTGTTTTACTTGCCCTGCCGGCTTTTCTTCCTTCAGTCATTTCTTCTTTTTTCACCCAAAATAAGGAAGGCCCGGGTCCCCCGGGTCCCCCGGCCCCCTCCCCTAGATCCGCCATTGGTTTGGTTGAATATTAGCCAAAATGAGCAACTCATGTGCAATGTTCACATACATTCTCCATAATAGCGTTTCTATACATGCTGTTTTTTTAATATTAGCCCTATGGATCCGAACTGATTTAGCAGACATTATTTCTGTATTTTACGACAACAATTTTGTTTCTGGGTTGATTCATTTATAGCTAAGTAATTAACAATTAAAACTGATTGCATCATGACTTCATGCGACGCCTACCGTCTTGAGGACACTGGTTCAAATCTGTTACAAATGATTTTTTTTTCTTTTCTTCTTTTATTTTCCGAGGATGAACAGCGGTTGAGCATGTCGTTTCTCAAAGTTTCGCTGCAGTTTTCTTGCAGTTTCCTCGCACTGACCTAGACGCGCATGCATGGAATAATCGTCTGGAAATTTGTATCTGACAAGCAGTTGAGTGGATCAGTACTTACTAAACATTATCAATGGTATATTAGTAAACCAGTTAATAAACCGGGTTGAGGGAATATTGTAATTTTTCGGACAGTTCCGTGGTTAGTCCTCGCCTTGGCCAAAATACACCAGTACGGAACTATTTTCCAAAAACAAATCATGTTCCATGATCAAACTTTTTTTTATTCACATGTGTTCTTTTTACACTGTTCTTAGCAAATACCTGAAAAAAAAAAATCGGGGTCACCGTGCTCGTTTAAGAGAAAAGGAGCATTTATTTCGCTATCAAGCTTAGTTTGAGGGAAATCTCTTACCTTTTGTACGCGTAAGCGCTCATGTGCGCGCGCTAATGACGCGAAAATCGTGCGCAGTGGGGATGCGCAATGAAACACTAAGGAATCACCTTAACAAGAAATCTGAGTTATAACCATTTTTAAAATCCCCTGAAGAGAAACTAATTCTATACAGCCAGTCAGAAGGGGAATCGCTCCAGCCGCCCAGTTTTATGAGTTTTTAAACCTACAGACTATTCTCTAGCCTACAAGGTCTGATGATCGCCTCGTGCGTGATCGTTCGATTTTAGACACTTGTACCTCAAGATGATATGAATTCAATATTACCTCTGCTGGGGAAGGATATCTGTGATACNTAGTAACAACAGAACGTGAAAAGGTGTAAATTAAAAGGATAATTTTAGATTTAAAAGGATAATTTTAGATTTAATTTACAACAAAAATCGGGGTCACCGTGCTCGTTTAAGAGAAAAGGAGCATTTATTTCGCTATCAAGCTTAGTTTGAGGGAAATCTCTTACCTTTTGTACGCGTAAGCGCTCATGTGCGCGCGCAAATGACGCGAAAATCGTGCGCAGTGGGGATGTGTAATGAAACACTAAGGAATCACCTTAACAAGAAATCTGAGTTATAACCATTTTTAAAATCCTCTGAAGAGAAACTAATTCTATACGGCCAGTCAGAAGGGGAATCGCTCCAGCCGCCCAGTTTTATGAGTTTTTAAACCTACAGACCATTCTCTAGCCTACAAGGTCTGATGATCGCCTCGTGCGTGATCGTTCGATTTTAGACACTTGTACCTCAAGATGATATGAATTCAATATTACCTCTGCTGGGGAAGGATATCTGTGATACGCCCAATGTTTCCCAACATCAATTATGCTCTCTCAGTAACGTTTTTGAGCAAATTTAAGTACAGCTGTTTAATCAAAATCTCAGTGGAAATTGTGTCTACTGAATAAGTGCATTATCAACTAAAAAAAGATGTTACGGGTAAATTAAAGAACTATAATCAACGACTATTTAACGATCGGAACTAAAATCTACTGAGAGAAAAAAGGAATTCAAAGCAAGTCGAAAGATCGTGATGCTTTAAAAATTCCAGCGAGTTCGCATTCTGGATTTTCCATATCGTTTCGTCTAGGGCGCTTAACTTTCACGGGCTAAACTATACCCATAGCATAGCTTTTTTTATTAGAAACTCTTATTTGTCGAGATATTCGTATACTAGAAGAGTTATGATCCCCTCAAATGGGTTGAAATTTGGTATGAAAATATTTTTCAAATGGCCAGAAAGTAGCCAAAACGTATTTACCCATAGATATACAAATAAGTTAATAAATTTTTATTGCAACTTATCTCACGAAGAGGCACTTTGTCCAGCCGGAGAAGCCCGAGAAAAACTCTCTTAACAAGGCAAGAACCAACAGCAAACTCAACCCACTCACGAAACTGGGTCCAAGATTCGAAAATGAGTCACATTAGTGCGAGACGAGTGCTCTCACCTCTGCCCCTATAATGTTCATGGACTGAATATTCATGGCTGTTACCAGTTAAGTTATAGTTAGTTAGTCTTGGATTGTATGCCAGCTTTTGCCCCCTAATGGCGTAACAATCTTGAGGCCTCTGACAAACAAAAACTGCTAGCAGACACAGACAGTAAAAGCTCAATAATGAAGAAGAAGAAAGTTTTACGATATTCAAGGGAAAACTTAGTAGCTGGTCCGCATGCAAAAGCTTAGTCAATTAATTCTTATATACTTACTGGTTGTGAACTGGATCCTTCATCCAGTCATGAAAGTATTTCGAGGCATTGTTTAGGCAGGCTGTCTCCCCTGCATCGCAAACAATTTCTAAGATGGCAGGTCGCAAAAATCTAACATGATAAAGTCAGAGAGAAACATCAATGCAACTTGGAAGGGATGATCTGAAGTTTTTATAAACCTGATACTAATCAACTCAACGCTTATATAAGTAAGTCTTCTCACGTTTCTAGATGAGAGCCTCGATCCGTAAAGCCAAGCCTCTTATACTGAGGTTCCACTTGGTAGAAAAGGTACTTCTGTTGGGTAAATGAAATATATTCCTTATCAAATTTCATTTATTATTACATTTAGTTATTTCAAGTTTTAAAGGGCGTATGCGAGTAGTAAATGATGGATGGATTGATTGACTGACTGACTGAATGAATGATTGATTGATTGATTGATTAATTGATTGATTGATTGCTGTACGGATGAACTATATGAATAGACCGGTCTTCAATACGTGCTGAGATATCTGGTTATAGAGGTACGCATTTGGTCTCACTGAACAAACGTAGAAGGCCCTCAACCGTAATAAACGCAGCACTGTGGGTATGTTATACTGCTGCAAATCTCATCTCGTATCATCAGAGACTTGCCATGTCAATCGCAGCACGCAACCCAGTACACGTAACGTCTGTCATCCCACCACATCACATCACATCAAATCCCAAAACATCACATCAAGTCCCAACAAATCACACCAAAATCCCAACACATTACATCACATCCCAACACATCACATCAAATCCAAACACGTCACATCAAATTCCAACACATCACATCAAATCCCAACATATCATATCACATCACATCACATCCCAACATATCACATCAAATCTCAACACATCACATCAAATCCCAACACATCACATCAAATCACAACACATTACATCACATCCTAACACATCACATCAAATCCCGACACATCACATCAAATCACAACACATCACATCAAAATCCCAACACGTCACATCACATCCCAACACATCACATCACATCACATCACCTCCCAACATATCACATCAAATCCAAACATATCACATCAAATCCCAACACATCACATCACATCACATCTCATGCAGTGTCATTCCATCACATATTAGTCCTGTCATATGTGGTTAAGGTTTTTGCATCTCATCGTAGATAATGACTTCTCAACTCATGAAATCACACGAAATGCTTATCGCCTTCATGAATCGTATCATATGTAATGTCAATTTATCTCAAGGGTCCCTGTCCATAAAAATGGAAAATAACTCGGCAAGGGTCGAAAATTCGATTTCGTTCATATTTTCATGGTAGATAGGCGAGGGCATGACAAAAACTCCTGGATAGTTTTTTTGGCAAAATATCCTTCTATTTCAAAGAAATATGCAAATTACCAAATTCCGTTAAAATCGCCATTTGACGCATCATTTTATTAAACAAGTTTGAGAGCCTCGCATGCAAAACCACATCAT